TTGTTCTTGTCGAATCTAGGCTTAAAGGGACCTGATAGGTGAGTGGACAGCGCTTCGGATTCGTAGTCTTGAGGTTCCGGGTTCGATCCCCCGGTGGATGAAGCAAATGGGCAGTTTCTTTTACCCTGATGCGCCTGTTACCTAGCAGTAAATAGGTATCTGGGAGTTAGACAGCTGCTACGGGCTGCTTCCTGGGGGTGTGTAACAAAAAGGAGGCCTGGTCGAGGACTGGGCCGCGGGGACGCTAAGCCTCGAAATTATCTCAAGATAACATCATAAGATAACCCACTCTTGGAGTTATCTTATCTTGAGGTTATCTTGAGATGATTTCGGGGCTTTTTTTTTTAGTGTCCCCGCGGTCCGGTCCTCGACCAGGCCTCCACCCCCAGGAAGCAGCCCGTGACAGCTGACTAACACCCAGGTACCTATTTTACTGCTAGGTAACAGGGGCATAGGGTGAAAGAAACTCTGCCCGTTGTTTCTCGCCGGCGCCTGGGATCGAACCCAGGGCCACAGGATCACAAGTCCAGTGTGCTGTCCGCTCGGCCGACCGGCTCCCTATGACCTTGTCAAACTCAAGGATAAAATGACCTTGAGTTTGTCAAGGTCATCTTGTAACCTTCTGTAGTCCAAGGTTATTACATTCTTCATTACCTTAACATTGTGTAGAAACACTTGGCGTGTACGAGCTCACTTCCTTCAGTAGGTCATTCACATAAATTAGGAACAGTAGCGGTCCCAGGACCGACCCTTGGGGAGCTCCACTTGTTATCTTCCTCCAAGTCGACACCTTGTCTCTGATTGTGACTCTCTGATTTCTGTACTTCAGGTATTCCCTTATCCAGTTCCGTGTCTTCCCAGTTATCCCTGTTTGCTTCTCCATCTTGTACATCAGCCTGTCCTGAGGAGCGTTATCAAGTGAGTGTTAAGAGTCTACGAATATACAGTCTATCCAGCCCTCTTTGCTTTGTTATATTGGAGTAATCTTGTCTTATAAAAAGTGTATCAGGCATCAAATTTATCAAATGGGGTTGATAAACTGTGATTTGATCTATATGTTCATCCACTCTGTATCTAGCTTATCAGTGCTTAACCACTTTGAATATTCGGGTTCAGTTCCAGAACCCATTGTGTGCCTTTGTAAATCATTCACTACCATTCTAACCCGTTCTCAGCAGCCCGTCCTCCAAACAAAGACCCAAAAGTGATTCCATGCACCCGCCAAAACCCCCGCTGTTTATGAATGAAAAACGGTTTTACACACGACTCACAACTGATTTCGTTCGAACACTTCCGCAACAAGTGCTTCACTGACGAATTTTGTTCGAACCACAACGTTGTAAATGCTTCACCCACGTACTACAAATACAAATAATCGCCAACAGAACCTAAATACCTAACCTAACCTAACCTATGCCTATATATGCACAATACGCTAGTAACTTAAAATATTAATTTGCATTTGAGAAAATTCCCGTTTCGAATGAACAGCATATAAAAATTGATGAATGCGACTGTGGGGTCGACCGCTGGATGGAATGGACTTTGCGCCGAGGACGAGTTGCAACAATACGTTTCTAGCAGGAGACAAACTACGCTATCTTGAGGTTATCTTGAGATGATTTCGGGGCTTTTTAGTGTCCCCGCGGCCCGGTCCTCGACCAGGCCTCCACCCCCAGGGAGCAGCCCGTGACAGCTGACTACCACCCAGGTACCTATGTTACTGCTAGGTAACAGGGGCATAGGGTGACAGAAACTTTGCCCATTGTTTCTCGCCGGCGCCTGGGATCGAACCCAGGACCACAGGATCACAAGTCCAGTGTGCTGTCCTCTCGGCCGATCGGCTCCCCGCTGAATATCTTTAACACATTCAGACATTAAATTCACTTGATGTTTTACTGTAAGTTGATATTAGATACACGGTTCTGCTATACGTATCTGACACCGGGAAAGGATGCCCCTCCTCTCTCTTCCCTGGCATCAGCAGATACGCATGTTCACTTGGGGAGTTCCACGGGTGAGACGCAAGCCGAATGCGAAATAACATTACCGGCCGACACGTGCGGTTAAGACAAGGTGTAAACAAAGGGATGCACATGGGAGGTTCGTTTCGTTTTCTTGTTTCTGGGGAGTTTTGTGTGTTGGTTTATTGTGATATTTGGTTGTCTTGTTTCAGGGGGAGAGAGAGAGAGAGAGAGAGAAGATTAAGCCACCCAAAAGGTGGCATGGGCATGAATAGCCCATAAGTGGTGGCCCTTTTGAGCCATTTCCAGTATCAATAGATGATACTGGAGATCTGTGGAGGTGCGACTGCACCCTGCGTGACGGGAGATGTCTCCCGTGTTTCAGGGGGAAGGTTTTTGGATGTTTATACCCCCCCCCCCCATCGTTGTTGTTGTTGTTGTTAAAGATTCGCCACCTGGAACAAAAAGTTCCAAGTAACACGGGCTATGGTGAGCCCGTAGTGCCAGCTCCCCCATCAATGATATACCATCCAGATATATCTCAAGATATCTCCTCCTCTGACACACCTGGCATGTCCCCTGACTCATATCCACACCTGACTAACCTTTTATAGCTCCCCCCCCCCTGAATCATCTTCATACAGTATTTCCCCTGATTTACCTCCTTATATCTACGGGCTCACCATAGCCCGTGTTACTTGGAACTTTTTGTTCCAGGTAGCGAATCTTTAACAACAACAACAACAACAACCTCCTTATCCTCTAACTCACCTTCCATAACCCCCCCCCCTGACTCAACTCTATTCCCCCCCCCCTGACTCAACTCTATTCCCCCCCCCCTGACTCAACTCTATTCCCCCCCCTGACTCAACTCTATTCCCCCCCCCTGACTCAACTCTATTCCCTCTGACTCACATCCATGCTCCGTAACTCATCTCCCACACCCACTCATTCAAATATTGAAACATGCAGCACCAGCCTGGAACCCACACCTAGTAAATCATAAAACCAAAATTTCAAAAGGATAGATGTTTGCAACAAGAATGATGCCAGAGTTAAGGAGGTGGGAAAAACAGCATGGGGACATGATCACAACATACAAGATACTGAGAGGGGAATAAATAAGGTGGAAATGTAAGGAAATCCTCGCATCCTGTTCAGGCTGTCAACAAAGTGGCATACGCTGGAAGAAGTTGCGGGAGCCACCTCCATCCACAACTGTAAGACCAGATTCGACAAAAAATTCGAACATCACAATAGTTAAAATGCAAAATATTAGAATAAATTAGTTAAAAGAATTAGTTAAAATAATAATGCAACACGTTCAAGAAGGCTTGAACATACAGAGCTAAACCTCTCTCCACCCATACACACACATATATAATAATTCATTGTGTCTGGGACAGGAAGCCAGGATATACCTACAGTACATGTTAGGCTTAAACCCGAGGCTTCTCTCCTCCAGCCCCCCCCCCCACATACACCTCCTCCCCCCCCCCTCCACACACACACCTGCTCCCCCCACCTCCCCCCTCACACCTGCCGGCCCGGTGAGGTCCTGTGGAGGCCCCCCCCCCTGGTGCTGGGGGAAGTACCTGGGAATGTACACGCAGCCAGAGAAACGTATTGGCCAACTCTGGCGACCGTCGTCTGGTTGGCGAAAACGTTTGGGCCAGGCGTCTCATTATTATCTAGTACCCCACCTCTCCCCAACCCTTGAATGCTATTGTCAATTGATTGATTGATGAAGATTAAGCCACCCAAAAGGTGGCACGGGCATGAATAGCCCGTAAGTGGTGGCCCATTTGAGCCATTACCAGTATCAAGAGATGATACTGGAGATCTGTGGAGGTGCGACTGCACTCTGCGTGACGGGAGATGTCTCCCGTGTGCTATTGTCACTTGCTTAGTGTGAGAGTGTATGGAACTATTGTAGTATACAGTGTTTATGTGTATAAAGTGTATTGTGGTGCATAGGGTATAGGTGTGGGAGGTAGTATATTGGTGAGTTTAGTATAGTATAGTGTGTGTGTGTGTGTGTGTGTGTGTGTGTGTGTGTGTGTAGATTGACAGTCACAGGACTTGCAGACTCACCAATTCACAGGACTAGTATAATCGGTCACACTCCGCCAGACTAGTAGATGAATCAAAATAATTTTGAAGAAATCTTTAATCAGAATTGAAGCGTTCAAAATATATTATTATTAAAATAAAATAAAATATCCTATTTACCAGTATCATTATTTCTCAACAAAACACTCGATTCGTGCTATTTCCCCCTATTTGCAAATAGGGGTAATGACTACCCTTATTTGCCGTGATATTTGCAGTGACTATTTTCTCATTGCACTAGACAACAGGCGGCTAAAAAAAAGGCGGGGTCAAAGAGCTAAGGCTTGACCCTGCAGGCACTAATAGATGAGTACACACACACACACACTCACAAATACACTGTAAATATTCGATAGACTGGAGTTCCACCAACCAGGCACTCCAGGAGAGGTTTAGAAAGTCTCATTTGGATACCAGTGATGTGTCTCTCTGGGACCCTATATATATATATATACATATATATATATATATATATATATATATATATATATATATATATATATATATATATATATATATATATATATATATATATATTTGGACCTTCTGAAGATGTATTTAATATACGAAAGTACTTAAGGAAATTTCCTGTTTCATTTTTCCTCCGTGGTCTGACATTGTCACATTCTTAATCACGTGTTTATTTTCGTGATATACACACACATATATATATATATATATATATATATATATATATATATATATATATATATATATATATATATATATATATATATATATATATATATATATATTCGCTCCTCACAGCGCACATTCAAACGCGTATTACTGAAGCAAACCAACAAAGGGAAAACAAACACAGGTGTAACTTGCAAACAAATAACAAGAAAATATTTATTTAGCAATACACCTCTAACTAGGCTTCTTCTCCCCCCTCCCCCCCCCCCCACCCCTTCCCCAGCATCCACGGAGTGTATATATATACACTCTTAAGACAAACAAATACTCAGTTCACGCAAGAAATTATTCAATGTTGGACACAATCAAGTTTTAAGTTCAGAGACCTATAATTTAAATCAAGTGTGTGGCTGCTTCTTGTATTCTTTACCTCAGGGAAAGTCTGCTTTATTGACTTCATTTTGGCAATGAACTCCATCTTTATTCTGGAGCAAATACAGTATGTTTTTGTTTGGGGGATTTAGTGTGTTTGCTGTTTTGGGATTAGTTTTGTGTGTGTGTGTGTGTGTGTGTGTGTTTGGACAGACGAGGTTTTTCATATCGGTGTTGTTTTGCATGTGTTTTTCGTGGTGTTCTTGTGTGTTTACCTTGACGAGCTTGTGTGAGCATTCCTGGCCAAGCAGGAGTGTGGGTGTGGGCGTGACTGGAGCTTCAAGTGTGGGCGTGACTGGAGCTTCAAGTGTGGGCGTGCTGAGGCACCTCTTTCTCGAGTAGGAGTTTCCACATCTCTCTCCTGGTGTCGGCGTCGTGCTGTGGGTGGTGAAGAAACACCTTGTTGCCCGCGATCAAAGACTCCACGAACTTGTTGCCATCGAGTTCATAGAGGCTGTTCCTGTGGACGTGGGGCACCTTGGCAGCCTCCGCCAGCACGCCCGTCAGGTACACGTCGTCCACCCACAGGAAGGGACACGTCAGACTGGCATTCATGAGGGCGTATACAACGGGTTGCGTCATGAAGAAGGCGTTGCCCGAGCAATATGGAGGAAAAGTATTGGGCTTGTACTCGTTAGGATCGACGTACCACTTGGACTTGTTGTCTCGTATGACCATCATTCCTATCCAGACTAAACACTGGATCTCAGGGCGTTCCCATTCGTGCTCTTTCCCGGTAATATTTGCATCTGCTGGTGCGTTGCCGGGCTTCACTGTACTAATCTCCTTCGTCTCATTCACCTCAACGTCTTTCACTTTAATCGTGGTTTGCGTTGTGAAATTCAAGGAGTAGTCGAGGAACCGCTTGAGAGCGAATATGTTAACGAAAATGTCATCGTCCGTCTTGATAACGTAGCCAGGCTGGCGACAGTGTTGGCTGACCCAGTGAAGAGCAGTCACGGCCTTGTAGCTCAGGTTCCGGTACGAGTCTACGAAGTCTGCCATGATGAGGTCGTGGTAGATGTCGCTCTCCTGGCGCAGACTGGCCCGACTCTCGTTGCTCGTGGTCCACCCCAAGACAAACACAACCTGGTGCCAGAACAAACAGGTTAATTATCACACACAGACATCACAGTAGCGTGATGCATCAAATGAACACATCCACAAGGGTCGTGATGAGGATTCGAACCCTCATCACGGCCTCTTGTGGATTTGTTCAGGTTAATTATCCCTCTCGGCATGAGTCTCTTGTGTAGACACGCTCACACTGAGATGGCTATCAGGATTATCAGGATATCTTGAGATATCCTGATATCAGATATCAGGATATCTTGAGACTGAGAGGATATCAGGATTTCTGAAGAAGGTTAAGTTCCCGCTGAACTTATCTACAGCGCTTGGCTTTTACTAGATAAGTTCTATCTACTTCTGTCTATCACCGCATTTTGGAAAAAACACAATTAATAGATCAATAAATATGTATACACAGAAAGAATAAAGAATAAACAAGGCAAATGTAAATAAGAAATAATTCGTGTCTTTTGACATGGCCAGCACTGGAGTCGACTCTTGTCTGAATCCAGTGATTGGCAGTGATTCAGAAGTGCCAGTGATTGGAATCTCAATCCCATTCATCTTTCCCCCACCCTGGGATCCCTACCTCATCCATGCCCCCGTTGGTCCTCCATAACCCCATTTGTCTTACCCACCTTATGACGTAATATCGGGTACCACTCTGGGCTCCCCCAGGTGTCCCGGATGACCTCTCGCCTCTCCTGATTGGCTGGGGCCGTGTGCACGTAGAAGATCATCTGGCCAATCACAGCAAAATACGTGGGTCAATAACAATGGGTTCGCAGAAGAGGGAAAGAAATTAGAAGAGAGTAAAAAACAGATCAGAAAAGGGGAGAAAAGTGATGAGAAAAAGAGGGGGGAAGAAGAGGGGGGGAGAGAAAAAGTTAATTAGCGCATATTTTTTCCCCTTTTTCGAGGACTTGTTGCGTTATGATATTTTGCTTACAATATTTGTTTATTTCTTGAAGGTACAAGCAACGTTGGAGTTAGAACAGACGCTAGTTATGTTAGGTGGCTTTTCTTAATCTTGTTTACCTTATAGATTGTCATCCACACTTCCGTGGAAATAAACCTTCCATTCACCTGAACTGTATGGGTTTCGAACCCTGGATCCCAAGCATGTCAGGCCGTAGCTCTATCTACGTATCGTATCTCTATCGACAGGTGGCCCTGTCGATAGAGATACGGTCTCACATATGTGGAGACCACGGTTCGAACCCCATACAGCCCAGGTGAATGGGATGTTTACCTTGCTTGTCTCTGTTTCTCTCACTTTCGCTCTATCTCTCTCTTTCTCTTCGTCTCTCTCTCTCTCTCTCTCTCTCTCTCTCTCTCTCTCTCTCTCTCTCTCTCTCTCTCTCTCTCTCTCTCTCTCTCTCTCTCTCTCTCTCTCTCTCTCTCTCTCTCTCTCTCTCTCTCTCTCTCTCTCTCTCTCTCTCTCTCTCTCTCTCTCTCTCTCTCTCTCTCTCTCTCTCTCTCTCTCTCTCTCTCTCTCTCTCTCTCTCTCTCTCTCTCTCTCAACTGGAGTCTGACCCTAGTACCCTAGCAAGTACCTGTTTACTTGATGTATGCTCTCACCTGTATATCCGGGATACTGCAGAAGGCGGTCTCCAGCAGGAAGTACCTGACGGAGAGGTTACGTGGAGCCAGAAACGCGGGAGGTCTTCCCAGTTCCATGTTCAGGTCCCTGTACTCTCTGACTCTTTCTCTCATGCTGGAAGTTCTTTTCTGTTGGGGAAGAGACGAGCGTACACATAGCCACCTCTACACGGTGTGGTGAAGGTGTATGGCGGGTGTATGGCGGGTGTATGGCGGTGTATGACGGGTGTATGAAGGTGTATGGTGGGTGAAGATGTTAGGAAGGTGCTCAAGTGACTGTTAGAATAGTCTTGTAGGTTAGGAGTTGTGCCTAAATACATTAGCAATGGCTGCTGATTCTTGAACACTGGCTCTCTAGCATCCCCTCGTGAGACTCATCTTTGTTCTTCAGCAACACCCATAAACCAACCCCATCCTCTTAAAATGATGGTACAGTACTTATACGAACTATTTGCTCGAAAGTACCAGTATGTACTGATGGGCCCCCCAAAAGTTCACGTTTAGCGTTCTTGAACTAACCCAAATGGCATTCTAGAACATTGGAAATGCAACCAAAGAACCTTACCCAACCTGTCCAAGCAAACCTAGGCCTAATACACGTTACATTAGGCCTAATATGGTACATATATTAGGCCTAGGAATATTTTAAGCTTGACTGACAAAATAGTTCCAATAAGTACCGTCATTTTAGGAGTACGTTTTGATACTTTTAACCAAATATATATACTATAAGTGATATAATTTTATGAAAATGGATTGCCATATTCACTTTGAATTGGGCAGTATAATATAGGCACGCTGCAATACAATGGGTTTGCCATTTGAGATGCTATCCTAGGTGAATTGTTTGTGGGGTCTTAGATGTAGCTGGTCTGATTGCTGCATGAGAAACCCAGTTGGTGGTGCATTGTAAACACTTGTACATATACCCCCTAATAAGAAACCTATGTGATCTAATAGTATTTCCTTGACCAGGTCATCAGATGCTGAGGAGAAAGATAAGAAGGTTGGTAGATATGAGTGGCTGTGCGGACATCGAGGACACCAAGTCAGGTGGGAAAGGTTGTTTGTTTCCTCTGTAGGTCACCGATAAAAATGTTTAGAATCTTTTTGCTTGCATAGCCAATTCCAGGAGGGCTTCCTTGATACCTTGTGTACGATCTATTATGCCTATTACATATATTTCTCTCTAACACGCACACACATACACATTCCCAGGAAGCAGCCCGTAGCAGCTGTCTAATTTCTAGGTACCTATTTACTGCATCAGGGGGACATCAGGGTGAAAGAAACTCTGCCCATGTGTTTCCGCCTCCGCCGGGGATCGAACCCGGGGTCCTTAGTACTACGACTCCAGAACGCTGTCCACTCAGCCACGAGGACCCACAACGTGTGTGTATGTGTGTGACTGATTGGTTTGGTGTTGGTGTAGGCCTAGCAGCCGCGGGAGAGTTATTAAGGCCACCACAATAGTTTACTGATGAACCAGCAAGTATACTTTAGTCCCAAACACTGTTCAGGACAACAGTAAACTCTTCTAATACACCGAGAAGTGGGGTACACATCTAGGTTGATATATCTTGCATGTAGTTATAATTTATAATATATATCGCAGAAGGCCTATTATTGTCATGAATTTCAGTATTGACATGTTCTGACATGAGCCTGGAATAAAGATTATTAATATAATTATTGAGAAAATCAGTAAGAGAAACCCAGTTGGTATAGGGATTTGAACCAGCGTCCAAGTGAACACGAAACTCACGCCTTTCACAGTGGCTCTCGCCAGCAGGACGTTCGCTGGTTCAAATCTCTTACTGATTTTATCATTGATAATTCACGCTATTGTGACTTCCTCGGATTATTATTATTCATTTAGCGCCGACCTTTCTGGTTGTGGTGAGGAAGTGCTTCAGCATCTCGCGGTCGAGCTCGTCGGGACACTGAGTGTGGACAGAACCATGACAGGTTCTGGAGGTGACGATGTCCCTGCTGCCTTGGTGGCGGCGGAGGGCATATTGCCTCGAGTTCTCCCTGAAGAGTTGACTCAGGAAGCCCGACACCACCAGGGAGACGGGCACAAGGGCTACCAGGAACACCAGGAACTTCAGACACGACCCTAGAACACAAGCAGTATGTGAGAATTAAGACATCTGCGCCGAATGTCCAGATTCTTAAAGACTAGATTCGTCATCTGGCGGCGAATGTCCTGTGTGCTATTATGACAAGTGGACGGAGTGTTCAGATGGTGTCTCGGTGGTACAGTCGCTTTCCTTCTTAATTCACAATCGGGAATTCCGGTTTGGGAGAGAAATGGTTGTGTACATTCCCTTTGACCTGATGCCTCTGTTCACCTAGCAGTAAATATGTACCCGGGAGCCTTTGTTCATCTAGCAGTAAATATGTATCTGGGAGTTAGTCAACTGTTGTGGGGATGCATCCTGGGGAGGGTCAGTAATTCGACCGTCGTAAAATGACCTCGATATAGGAATAATATATACATACACTGGCTGCCTGGCCCGCCGACAAAATGAGTTATGAAATACTTTCAATAAATAAGTTTGTTCACCATCAAATATAATTCATTTTCTATGGATTATACGCATCCAAGAAATAGAAAATTGAGACTGTGGTAAGGTGCAGAAACGATGGTTTCTTCCCTAACGGAGGACAGTTTGTGAAAGGAAGGTAATGAAGTAATTATTCACCGCCATCAACGCGGCGTCATTCACCACTGCCAAGTTCTCATATCAAATGTAACTCCGAGGAACATTATCCTCTTAGCCAGCAGCAGCAACACTCGCTCAGTCATCGTTGGGAGGACCATCGCTTCTGTAAGTGGTACGGCTTTGTCAGTAACGAGGCTGGGTGGGCGGTGAATTTTTAGTTGCTAGTGTTTTTGCACTCAAGATGTGGATTTTGTTTTTGTTTTTAACTTATAATTATACAGTATCTTTTATTTTGGTAAATGAAGAATGTATACTATATAAACTAGATTGGCAGGCGGTCAGGTTCGTGTTCCGAGATTCCATGAATCTGGGAGTAGTAATGTAATCTTTTCCTTGTATGTGAATTATTGACAAAACATTTGTCATTTGAATTTTAAGTACTGTATATACTGTAATGATCGTGTTTTTTTAATATAAAAAAGATAAAATATTTGGTTTCGATGAACAAATCCACAAGGGCCGTGACGAGGATTCGAACCTACGTCCAAGCACCCCAAACGCTACCTTAATCGACTGAGCTACGACATGGTTATTTTGAGATTATCTTGAGATGATTTCGGGGCTTCAGTGTCCCCGCGGCCCGGTCCTCGACCAGGCCTCCACTCCCAGGAAGCAGCCCGTGACAGCTGACTAACATCCAGGTACCTATTTTACTACTAGGTAACAGGGGCATAGGGTGAAAGAAACTCTGCCCATTGTGTCTCACCGGCGCCCGGGATCGAACCCGAGACCACAGGATCACAAGTCCAGTGTGCTGTCAAGCGGCTCTATAGGCTACCAGGACAATAGGCTATCGAGACTTTCGAGCGACGTACATAGACAGCGCTGCTAAGTGCTGCCGCTGGGAGGTAAGTGCTAAGTACTAAAACAGCTAAGTCTTATGATATACGTGCTTAGGTCTTAGGATATACGTGCTAAGTCTTAGGATATACGCACTTAGGATATAAGTGCTAAGTGCTAAGACAGCGCTGCTAAGGTTGGCGACACTGCCTTGTTAAGATGGAGTGGTTGACTGTTGCTGTATACTGTGGGAAGTGTACACTTCCTGCTCATGTATTTGAGCAAATCTTAGCATCATTACTAGCTTAGCTAAAATGTTACGCACACAACGGGGCAGCAGCTTCATGCTCAACAAGCCACAATGTAGACATAAAACTTTAGATGCTTTTTCACTCATAGTGATGAACCATGCATTACTGATTACTGATGTAGTAGATCAGTAATGCATCAAACCACTAGTCATTGTTCAGGAGTCATTGTTAACATGATGACGATGGTTGATAATGTTCCTGGCGAACCTAATAATTATAGCTTTGGAATCCTTGTTAGAACAGCAGAACTTACTTTACTTAAGAAAACATGTAGTTGTATAAAAGGCGTGCACGAAACTCTTTACAATTGTCCAGTATTGCAGAAAGAGACACATTCAACAGTCTAGTCAAATGGCATGGAGGTTAGGATAAGGCTTAACTATGACCAAAAATACTTATTGTATTTGATTTAAACGTCAGGAGGGGATCGTCGAGAAATTTAACAACGGATTTTAATAATAATTCGTTTTATCGGGAGACAGGCAGCCTGTGTATATATATAAGTTAGGCTGGTATCGAGGTCTCCCTAAGGTCGAACTACACACCACGTCTAGGATGCAACCCCCACAACAGTTGATTAACTCCGGGTTACCTATTGACTGCTAGGTGAAAAGGTGAAAGGAAACGTGCCCAACCATTTCTGTCCCACCCCTAGATTCCTGATTGTGAGTCGAGAACGAATCCAACTATACTACCGAGACCCATGGACAGTGCAGCAAAATGTTTGATAGTGCAAAAAAGTGCAAAAATTGTTTATTTAAAGGATATTAGTTACTCAAAAAATAGGAGAAAGCGCCAAGCCATTACTATTATATAGCACTTGGAAGGGATCAGGATAAGAATTTGGGATGCGTTGGGATGAGACGGAGGGGGTGGGGGAATGGGTTTTTAAACAGTTCAAATTTTATATAAATAGTGTAGCAAAAAGTTTATTGCAAGACATGGTATAGCATTATGACTGAACCCATGTTATAGCAACTAAACCCTATATAGAGCCCAAGGGGTGAGAGCATGCGTAGTGAAAAAAAAACATGAAGCAAAGGACGAACCAAAATACAACAAATGTTCAGAAATGCAGGTATTAGGTACTGCCGAAAAATTATCAGTGGTGCGAGAAATACGTACAAAGTGTGTTTTAAGAAGGTTAACGTTCTTGTGTTTTGCTAAGTGATATAAGTAGTTATACCAAGAATCTCACCACAAAATTTGCGTCCTCTCCTGCGGCCCACCACCACAACATCGGCGACGGCCACCACCATCACTAACAGCTCAGATTGTGGCCCTCTCTTGTGGCTAAGGATTTTTGAGGCATCTCACATGCTGTTGTCTTCTTGTATCCCTAATTCTCCGTGGTTCCCTATTACCCTCAGCTGATATAGTGGTTTCTTCTTGTCGATTGATTGATTGATTGATAAAGATTAAGCCACCCAAGAGGTGGCACGGGCATGAATAGCCCGTAAGTTCCTCTTGTCACTCCTCACCCGCTTATGTGACTGCTAGTGGTCCGGCCGGCCTCGCCAATAGCGTCATATGGGCCTCACTTCCTTGGGCTCTAGTATACCTCGCCTATGGATTTCTTCATGAGGCCGTCACCTGTTGCTATTCTTCGTGTAGTTAAAGGTTGACCGGCATCACACATCTGTCGGAGCAGGTGAATGTAACACTACACTACACTTGTGAATGTAACACTAACACTGGATTTGTTCAGATGAATGTGTCAGCTAGCGCTAGGCAAATTATTCCTATCTTCAGTAAGTTTGCATTGGATTACTGGGTTCTGCTCCTTCATTGGCTCTCATCCCTCTCCCAAAACGTTCCTCCTCCTTCAACTCTTCCCCCCCCCCCCTTCCATCCCTCTCATTAAAAAGGGTTAAATAGGAATGACATTAAATGAAAATTGCAAGCTAAGAGTTATCCTAATCGACTTATTAGAAGCCTAGTACTAGAAACTATAATATTTAATGAGAATTATAAATTGCTAATTAGGTTCAAACTATATTTAATGCAAAGACATATAATATATGAACACGATGTACTGAACGGGGTGAGAATAGCTCGAGCTACTTCATTCCTTTGTGTGTATTTATACCTCAATAAACTTATTTCAATTTCAAAGCCAACCATATGCCTTTATTATACACCGCCAGGAAAGTGGTCTGGGTTGAGTTCTACTCTGCGCATCTCTCTGAATGCGGCTGCATAGTTTAGAATTCTTCTGAACATATATATATGTTCGTGAACGCAAATGTATTTGTGTCTTTTTAACTTGCACTTGGTGTATAGATAAAGGCCTATGTGCTGTGAATGCCATTTAATTATACATGCATATGTACAGGACATGAATTCGGTTTAATTTACTGCTACATAGGGCTTTAATTCACACCTTTAACGTGTAGATAACCCAATGTTGATATCTAAGGCTTTGGCATACCAAGATAGATACAGCATGTGAAGTTCACTTTAATATACAGGTATACAGGTTGTGAATGCAGCATGCGATTACACAGGCAGCGGGGAGTAAAGTGCCACTTGACATACATACCTGTGTCAGTGTCCTCATTGTGCATATCCACCTGCAGTTCTGTTCTAAATTACCTCGTGTTCACTGTGCGCTAACCTCCCCGGCTCCCCATCCTAATAGAACGTCGCAATTTGACACACACGCTTCATCAGGCAAAAAAAATTGTTGTACTAGAAAATAGTAGCGGCTCGCGAAATTGATTCGTTTTCTGATTGGGGTCCTCTGGTAGGTTAGGATAAGGGCACTCTAGTACGATAGTTTCTTGTCGTTGAGAAACCGTAGGAGGACGGACTGCACTCCCTCCCCCTTATCATCCCCCTCTTCCCTCTAACGCACTGGTTCGTCTCTCTATACCTCAGACCCTCACCTTCTTCCTCCGGTATACAAAACCCTACTGAAATCACCCCTCTCCAACACCCACCAGGCTTCCATCCATGGCAACATTGAGCGACTAAGTACACTCATGATTGATCGTTGCCACCAGTGACGGCGGCTAGTTAATTGTGCACTCTGTACTCTGGGAATGGTAGTTTATTGTGCACCTGTACTCACCCTGTGAGTTGTAGTTTATTGTGCACCTGTACTCACCCTGTGAGTGGTAGTTGTGCTCACACTGAGACAATTATATTTTATGATAGAGACATATATAGAGAGGTAGAAACAGACAGTAGATAGATAGATAGATAACCAATTGGTTTTATTTAGTTTTGGAAGGCACATAACTACATAACCTCCCCCCCCCCAGGGGCATCACCGCCTCCCAAAAACCCCTTGAAAAGCCTCCCTCCCTCCCTGGGTAGTGGAGCTATGCCACCGAACAATAAATTAATCAGATATTCTCTTGGCCCAAATACCTCTATTGCTCGCTTCTCCCCTTAACACTCTCACTCACTCTCTTTCTCTCTCTCTCTCCATCTCTCTCTCATACACACACACACATACACTTTTTTAGTGTCAGAGTAGTTAATAATGGAATGCATTAGGCAGTGATATGGTGGAGGCTGACTCCATACACAGTTTCAAATGTAGATATGATAGAGCCCAGTAGGCTCAGAAATTTGTACACCAGTTGATTTACACTTGAGAGGCGGGACCAAAGAGCCGAAGCTCAACCCCAGCAAGCACACCTAGGCGAGTACACACACCACCGTATATACAGCTAGGAGTAACCCTGTCTTCACCAAACACTCTATTCCAACAATCGATGCATACTAGGAAAAATGTAACGAAATTAACGCGTGTTGTACGTGCCATTATGTGTGTGTGTACTCACTTAGTTGTACTCACCTAGTTGTTTGCGGGGGTTGAGCTCTGGCTCTTTGGTCCCGCCTCTCAGCCGTCAATCAACAGGTGTACAGATTCCTGAGCCTATCGGGCTCTATCATATCTACACTTGAAACTGTGTATGGAGCCAGCCTCCACCACATCACCCCCTAATGCATTCCATTTGTCAACCACTCTGACACTAAAAAAGTTCTTTCTAATATCTCTGTGGTTCATTTGGGCACTCAGTTTCCACCTGTGTCCCCTTATGCATGTGCCCCTTGTGTTAAATAGCCTGTCTTTATCTACCCTATCAATTTCCTTGAGAATCTTGAAAGTGGTGATCATGTCCTCCCCTAACTTCTGTCTTCCCCCTGTCTTCTGTGTGTGTGTGTGTGTGTGTACATTTTAGATTTAATATGATGACTTAGCAGTTTAAATATTAATACGTCACTTTGTGGCTGGCAGGAACTCCCAGTTGAAGGCTTTATTAATAATTATCTCACCAGTCATGTCTTGTAGCAGGATACATTATAATCACAACTACTACCACTACTAGCGGTGTCCTGAGACCACTGCCAACACCACTGGCAGTCATCACACCACTACCAACACTACTGGCAGAGTTATGACACCACTACCAACACCACTGGCAGTCATGACACCACTACCAACACCACTGGCAGAGTCATGACACCACTACCAACACCACTGGCAGTCATGACACCACTAGTAGTGGTGTTAGTAGTAACTAACACTACTAGTAGTAGTAGTAGTAGTAGTAGTAACTTCTTAACTTCTAACTTAGTTAGTTAGTAACTTCTTCAAGCTATTGGAGTCATGGCAGAGCCATGACTCCACTATCAACACCACTGACAGTCATGACACCACTACCAACACCACTGGCAGTCATGTCACCACTGGCAGTCATGACACCACTACCAAATGTAGTATCAAATGTAGATATGACAGAGCCCAGTAGGCTCAGGAATCTGTACATCAGTTGATTGACGGTTGAGAGGCGGGACCAAAGAGCCAGAGCTCAACCCCCGCAAACACAACTAGGTGAGTACAACTAGGTGAGTACCAACACAACTGGCAGTCATGTCACCAATGACTCTATACTCTACATATCAAAATAGATTACTTTGAAAACCGTATCAGTCACTAAACAAAAAATTGGGCTACTCTTATTACAAATTCGCTACTTTTAGACCGTCAACTCGCTACTTTCAGCAATTTGCATCTGGCAACCGTGGCTGGACGTGCAGTTGTCCTGACAATGGGCGATGGCTCATATTTTGAGTGGGGTAGTCCGTATAAACAACTGGACCTCTACCCTTCAGACCGAACAATTTGCCTTGCTTCTTGCACTGAAATGTGTAAGTCTCAACTTGAAACATTAATTGTAATTGACTATCATCCTTAATTGCTCTCAACTCTTTAAGACAAAACTGTAACATGCTGTCTGAAGTTTTTAGTTTAGTTCATTTATTATGCACTCCATACCCATCTTGTGGGCGGTAGTGGAAAGGGTTACAGAGGCACATAATGGGCTCAGGGACTGAACCCCACAATTCATTTAGCTAAGCAAGTTACAATCTTGATGAGCTAGTTACAAAATTCAATATAAGTCATCACATCAACAATGGGTTCGAGATCGACCTCAAGTACAGGTTCTAAATTAAGCAACTGACATATGTGGAGAGCTAGTGTCACAATTTATATGTTTGTCTGAAGCTACACAAATACTACAACAATTATTAACGGTGGTTAAGAGTTCATTTCATGTAGACTCCATCTCATGTTGGCCTCTGAATGCATGATAGAGCTGATTGATGAGTTAGCCAAAGAATCTGCCTTTAAAGGAGAAATTGAGGATAACCTTGGACTGTCAATAAGCAGTCTCAAGAGCAATAATACACCAAGAACTTCAACAAAATCTTGTAGATCTTAGGCAAAGTGAAATTGACACCATTAATTCCATCTATCATCATACTATCATGCAAAAGGGGGCCACACACTAATGGATCATCCAATATAATCGGCAGACTTCTAGATGTTACTATTGCTCGGCTTAGACTCGATTACAAGTATCTCTGAAAATTCTCATTATCTGCTGATGTAGACCTGACCAAATGTAAACTGTGTCAACAAAATTATTCGCACACCCTCCGTCACTATGTGAGAGAGTGCAAAAAGATAGGTGAATTCAGAGGCAATGCTATAACAAATGTTAAAGATATGTGTAAATATTTAATTCAAAATGATCTGCTGCCAGATTTTTTTTTATAAATATATACAAAAGTTGTTACATTCTTGTACAGCCACTAGTACGCGTAACGTTCCGGGCAGGTCCCTGGAATACGATCCCCACCGCGAAGAATCGTTGTTACAACCAAGTACACATTTTACTGTTGCGTTAAATAGAGGCTACAGTTAAGGATTTGCGCCCAGTAAATCCTCCCCGGCCAGGATACGAACCCATGACAAAGCGCTCGCAGAACGCCAGGCGAGTGTCTTACCACTACACCACAGAGACTGAGAAAAAGATGTAATGTACCCAGTTTGCTAACTGTAGGTAGTAACTAAGTGACTGTAACCTATCCACCGTTGCCCACTAGATGGGGGGGGCGGTGTGCAGAACAAACATATCAATTGTGACACTAGCTCTCCACATATGTCAGTTGCTTAATTTAGAAACTGTACTTGAGATCGATCTTGAGCCCATTGTTGCTGTGACAATGTGCACTGAATTTTGTAACTAGCTCATCAAGATTGTAACTTGCTTAGCTAAATGAATTGTGGGGTTCAGTTCCTGAGCCCATTGTCTCTGTAACCCTTTCCACAAGATGGGTATGGGGTGCATAATAAATGAACTAAACTGAAAGGCTAGGATGCATTAAGTTAGGCTGCATTAGTCTCAGTTGGGTTAGGTTAGGTTGGTTTGGCTTAGGTTCAGGTGGATTAAGTTAGGTAAGGTAGGTTTCAAAATCTGTTGGAGCTGCACACATTCAGGATTACTTCGCTGGGTGCTCCCTGGCACTGGCAGTGTTACTTCAAGCTATTATCTTGTTTCATATACCCTGGTCACTCATAATTTGTATTGTATATACCCTGTATTACAACATTTTTGCATCCATGTATATAACTTTTATGTAAATTAACAGCTTGCTTTATTTGCTAGTTTGCTATGAAATAAGTTTTAGGAATTATAATAAAAACTTGGATGAAGATATATAATAGTGCAGTACAGTACTGTTATTAATTTGGGAACTAATAATAATATGAGGAGAAAGGCTTGCCTCGAAAAACAAGACAATGATGGCTCTTTTTGACTTGCAGGTTCGACTTATTTGACTTCAGTGTTTGGTACTAGTATGGGAGGAGTTGGATTTGTTCTTGGATGCAATTACTGGCAATCTGAGAACCTCATCTTCAGAACTGTGGGTGCAGATAGTTTACTAGTGATGGCATATGGATAGACAGTGATGGATAGTGATGGCAGTAAATTCTGTTTACTGCCATCACCCTCATTCTATTTGACACTCAGATTATGGTGAGTAGTTGTTATTGCATGTTTAATAGACGATAGTTTTCATCTTCACATAGTTTTAGATAAATTACGTTTTATTATGCTAAGATAGTGATGTGATCCAGAGATTTGAGGGTTGGCCTTTCCTAGCTGTTCGACCATCTGAAGGTGGATGACTTTTGCTTGGACAGGGGTCAAAGGTTTCCCTCTTCTCTCTGCTCCAATTCCTCCTGTTGTTGGTGAGGTCTGAGATGTTGACTGGTTGAGTCCTCTTGGCTCCCAAGTGGCTGGCTCAGTCCTGTTGTAAAGCTCTTCTGTCTTGTCCTCCCAATCTCCTTTACCTCTCACAACCTCTTGGGCTGTTCAGTAGAGCGACGGTCTCGCTTCAGGTAGGTCGGTGTTCAGTCCCCGACCGTCCAAGTGGTTGGGCCCCATTCCTTTCCCCCCCGTCCCATCCCATATCCTTATCCTGGCCCCCCCTTCCAATTGCTATATAGTCGTAATGGCTTGGTGCTTTCTCCTGATAGTTCCCAACCCTTTTTCAATATTAGAAATTTTAGATTAATTAACATTAATACTATCCACAGGTTAATTATATATGATAAGCCAGCAGATAGAATACTGTTATGGATAAACACAGACAGATACTATGGAAGGGGAAGAATAATGTTTATTTAATGTTTGGCCGTTAAGTTGAAAAGGTAGGGTGCCCAAGAGGCCTCAAACAGAAGTAATTCTCCAGACAAAAATAATTATTGCTGCCATCTTCATTTATTACTATTTATTTAACAATAATGTAATTTAATTGCATGCTCTCCAATCCTACAGTTGACTTCAGATTAAAAGTAATTTGCATTAAATCCCAACCCAATCACTAGAAATGGTAACCAACAGTTAAACAGGTCAAAACTTGGTCATCTAATTTCATAATATCCCAAAATTACTTGATCCCCAAGTGACTTATTTGTCAACACGATGCCTGTTCTTATCTGAATTATTGCTGGCTACCAGGCAGGAGCTTGCATGAAATTATCCCATGTGTTTACTCCAACAATTTTTCATTAAATTTTTTATTTTTATTTTTTTCCTCAGGGCAGTGTAATCATCATGGCACTTCACCATGGAATGAAGCAGCTTGATCTGGAGGAGTTGTTAACCCTAAGTGTAGGCGCTCCAATGCTGTTAGCCTGGGCAGTCATTGCATACCTGGGGGTGAGATCTTGTTCTGAATTCTCTTCACATTGGAAGATAATAGACACGTGATGATTCGGTGTTCTAGGTTGTAGGGTTTGCCATAACTTATAAATTAAATTCACAGTTTGCTAAGTAATCTTGTATGCAGGTACAGTAAATTCAGGGGTACAGTAGAGATGGGAAGTATAGTTTGGGTCCCATATAGTTTGCTGAATTGAGATTGCTCTTGTATAATAAATTTTTGTGGAACATTGTCAGAAATTGTGCATACAGTATAATTAAACTTGTAAAATACTGATAAGACCCTTATGGAGAAAATAGGGTCTTGCTATGTAAAGGATTGGTCCAAGACACTCCTCTCTGAGAGCTGTGAAACGTAAGCGTGATTTGCTGGGAGAGGGATGGAGAGAGAATAAGATGTAGCTCTTGTGGAAGGAGGAAGGTCTCAACCCTTAATTATTTGTACTTATGTAGAAGTATTTCTTGCTGCTCTTGTACTTTGTTGTACGTGCTACTATCACTCTAAATGTAGACTGCATTCATCATCTCTTCTAGCAGCTTATTCTGCTGTTCACATTATATTTGTTCATTATCATGCATGTTCTGATCATGTCTCCTATGGTCTTTCTCCCTTATAGTTTTATATTATTGAGTTCCCTTAACCTATTTTTTATTGTTCAGCTTCTTTATTTCTAACACGAGTCTCAAAGCAAATTGGGGAACTTTCTCTGCATTCTTGTTCTTCATGATGATGTGATTGAATGTCAATGCTGCACATTCTAGAATTAATCTGACAGAGGGTGACAATGTCTGTAATGCCTGACCATTGGCACTAGCATACATCACTAGCTGTAATGTTTGTGGCAATTGTGTTGTCTATGTGCCCCTTCTTTGATTCCCATAACTGCCTCTGTCTTCTTCTGCCATTCTGGCCTCTTTTTTTTTCTTCTCCTAAAATTCATTGCTGTATATTTCATGAGATTAAACAATAGTATAATTGGGTCGCTTGTGATTCAATGTACAGAAGAGGATGGAAATACAGAAGAGTTGTATGAATAGACTGCTCCTAGTTATTCTTGACTTAGATTGAATGTTATTTAGTTATATTCCTCTGCTATTATGACCCTACTGGGGTCATAATAGTGCTAGAAAGTTAGAACAGTTAGAAAATAGTGTTAGAAGAGCTTAGTTCTCGGCGAATAGTGGCAGTATATTATGGTGACAGTACAGTATAAATAGGCCTGGTCGAGGACTGGGCCACGGTGGTGTCGAGATCCGAAATCATAGCAAGGTATATTGACCTGTGACCATACATGACTATAGTCCTGGAAAGTCTGCTAATCTTGCCTTGAAGAGCATCCATATGATCCACTCTAAAAAAAAAAATTTACTTACATTAGTCAAAAGGCTAATTTTGTCTAAATTAATGGCATAACTACTCCATATATGAATATTTTCCTATCATAAAAATCAACAATCTCGATACAAACTAAGGAGAGAGAGAGAGAGAGAGATTTGCACTTGTTCTTACATTCTTAAGTATGTGAATAGCACTGTGGAGCAAGTCTTGCCATTTGTACTGTAGTACTGTACTGTACTTTAGTGAAATGATTAAGCTCAGTCTACCCAGTTAATACCTATACAATTTTAAAATAGTAAGCTCATAACCCCACATAATCTCTATGCATGGTATTTTTCTTTTTTATTGGAGGTCATTATCTTGCTCTAACAATGAAACCATTTTCCACAGTTACGTCTAGAGAGTAACTACTTCTTCACAGTTGCAGTGATGTTGAGTCCGGGCCATGTAGCATTTATTTTGCTTGCTCTAACGCAGGTAAGTTTTTCATTAATGATGTTTGAAATTAATAGTTAAATAACTTGCTAGATAAATAATATACAGTACAAAGGTCACTTGAAAAGTAATTCTTTCATTAATTTTGCCAAATGCAGTTCACACCCAGTGTTTTACTTCTCAGTGACTACAGGAGAGTGAGATCTAGCTCTTTATGCCCTGCCTCCTAGCCATTTATACCTGGCATGCTAATTGCCTCTCTTAACATTACTATTTCCATAATTTTTATTTTTAACCCTTAACACTTTCGCCCGGGCATGACGCAGCATTGCGTCATCCGTTTACTGGCGGTAATACCGGGGATGACGCAGCATTGCGCCATCCACTTTAAATAATCGCCAAAAATCAGGTTTTTATCCGATTTTTTTTGGACTGGTTTTAAAATGTGCGCCGATGTCTTCCCATTTTCTTTTTTGAGCCTCGTGACCCTCCGGTGGCTTGGCACACGCCGTCGGCCCATTGTTTTCGCTCCACTGTTGTGACCAATGTCGCGTCCCCTCACATCTCAAACGTGTGAACATTTCGTCTATTTTCCGTGGCTATATTTCTTACTGCGGCTTTAGAAACTATCTACGCTTACTCCACGATGGATAGTGATCATGAACAAGGCCCTTCCAGGAAGAAAATTGCGAAAGAAAGGCTTGAAAAGGAAGGGAATTGGGAGTGTAGCTGGAAGGCGTCTGAGCGCTCACTCGCGGCTAACGCGTGGCCCTTCTTCAACTTGTCGGCGGTTGGAGCGTGACCAGGTTTTTTATTTTATATGCTAATGTTCCTCTAGAGAATTTTATTGCGAACCCATTGAGACCAAAATGAAAGACCTAGGACAAAAATCGAGGTGACCAGAGTGAAAATAGTGAAAACATTTTATCGCGTTTGCGCGCTCCTGGGTAACTCATTCGCAATTTCTCTGTTTGCTGCGGGTAATTAGCCGGGCTTTTGGAGTTTATATGCATTTAGTGCTATAGAGAATTCTATTGGGAACACAATGATATCAAATTTAATCTCGAAGAACGAGAATTAAGGTGACTAAGTTGAAGAGAGTACAGTATACACTTTTCAGAATTTACGCGCGCTCCCGTGACACCCTGGGTCCCATATCGCACTATTAAAGGGTGGCACGCGGGGTACGCCAAAGTGTTAAAGAGCAGTTATCATATGATAATTCACGGGATAATGCAGTTATCGTCATATGATGATTTAAACTACAGTACAGCATTTCATTAATTTTACACGTATGATGCAAATAAGTGGCTCTATTTCACTATTAGTAATCCAATTAAACATTTTTAAGATTGTCTTAATTTTGGAATTGCTGTATACACAGAGAGTAATCACACTATTGTGATGCATAAATGAGCAAATCTGTAGGAGCTGGAACACCCAGCGCATAGGTTCGAACCCTCATCACTGCTCCTACAGATTTAATAATTGCTGCATGTTTTGCTTTAAAAATGCATCTTTTTAATGAACAAATCCACTAAGGGCTGTGACGAGGGTCTGAACCTATGCCTGGGATGTTCCCAGCTGCACCTTAGTCAACTGTGCCGTGACATGGTTAAAAGAATTGCAACCTGGAGTGCTACTGCCCTCACTAGGATCCCGAAGCTACTCCAAAGCCCAGTCGGGTTTTCACACAATTTCCCCATTTACCCGGGCTCTGTCAACCAAATGTTCTACCTCTACGCCCTTACTTCAATACACACACAAATTACAATAGCATGATATATCTAATGAACAAATTTGATCTAGTGCCTCATCACGGCCTTTGTGGATTTGTTCATTTAATACAGTATCATGCTATTGTGATTTCAGTGTGCATCTTTTTCCTCATGGAATTTGCATTTCACAGGCAAGAAGGGAAAGTTAGTATTCATGAAGAATTGACTTTTTTTTTTTTTTTTTTTATTAATTATTCCTTTATTATTTTGTGTTCTTGTTTCTTTTATGATTCAGACTGCACTCAGCAAAGAAGAAAACCTCATCGCTGAGTGCCGGTATGCTGCCAGCGCAGGAAGTCTAATTGTACACATAGTCTTGATTTACCTCATGGTCCGATGTTATCGAAACTTTGGATTAGGACTAAAAGAAAAAGGTAAGGTTTGATTGTTACTACAGTACTTTTTCCCAAACAAAAAGATTACTTAAGCAGAAGATAAAAAGCAAATAAATGCATTTGAAAGAAAAATTAAACAATAGTTAGTGAAAAAACAGGAAAGCACAATTTAAAGGAAATAAGAAAGTTCAGTAAAAGGACTGATGAAAAAGTGTTTGGAATGTTAAAGATATAAGTGAGAGCATATGATCAGTAGTAAAAGGGAAATTATAGGTACCCGGAGAGAATACAGTACATTCCTCTAGTTTGAAAGTTTAATTACCATTATTGACAAGAGATGCAAATGTGAATAGGATTTGATTTGGTATAAGCAGAGATACAAGTCTAAACAATAAAAGGCAGTTGAGAAAAATAGATGGAGTGGTTCTGGAAAATTTGCCAGAAGACTTGCCAGGGGAAGTATTGCTAATGTTACACTCGACCCATGTGTCTGAAAATAAATTGTCGGGGTTTTAGTCCGTCCAAGACCATTATGAAGTTGAGTAAAGAGTGATACTGTAGTCGGTAGCTAACATGTATTGGTAAGAATGGAAAGTGTAAGGTGAGAAGGTAGGAAGAAAAACAATGGAATATAGAAAGCTGCAGAAGACATAATGACAGACTTTCATTTTTGTCTGTTTCACCTTTTTTTTTTTCACTATTAGGCCTTCTGCAGTTTTATTTATTCATGTAGTTTCTTCTTGCCTTCTCTACTTTCACTTTGCATTCTTGACTTAATATATTGATTTACTCCACCACTCTGTTTGCTAGACTGAAATGTCATCGCTTCCTTTAGTTTCAGATGTCTGGCTTACTTTTTACAGTATTGTTGTTTCTGATGATTAGAAATGAGCAGTGATTACACCTCTGAATAAAAATAAAATAGGAATACTATGAGTAAAAGTTACAGTAATTTGTGTACAAAATGTAGTAAAATTATATGACAGAATAATTGGAATGGTAGAGAAAATAAGTGAAATTGAACAGTGGTGAACAAGGTTAGTTGTCAGGTGGAAGAGATTGTGTGGATAAGAGACAGATATGTGAGAAAGATTGTACAGTGCATATAGCCTATATGGACTTGGAGAAAGCATATGCCTAAATTAATAGTATCAAGCCCAGGAAATTGCTGAACTTGTATGGAGTTAGTCAAAATCAGTTAATCCCTCAAAATGCAGTCATAATTTGTTAATGTCCTAGACCAAGTGCTATGGTCAAAGTATTAGAGAAAAAAAGTGAATTTAGTCTGTAGGGTGAATAAATGGAGCACATCAAATTTGATTGATATGTTTACCTGCTTTTCGAACATTGCTGAGAACCAGGTTTGTCCGAATAGTCGAGTCCGCCCTCCTGGATGAGACCCAGGTTTGTCCGAATAGTCGGGTCTGCCCTCCTGGATGAGACCCTGGTTTGTCTGAATAGCCGAGTATGCTCTCCTACTCCTGACAAGTCTACATGTTATGGGCAAAAATTCCTGACAATTCTATACAGATTCACTATACAGTATACTGTAAAGTAAAGGCATGCTAATATAAGAAATGTAGAAATATATTGAATAATAAGGGTGCTGAGAAAGGGTCTAGATGTTACACAGATCATCATTCCAAGACTAAATGTTAAGTTAGATAAGGTTAGGTTTCAGCCTGCACTATTTCAAATTTGGACAAATGCATAAATAGATATTCTCTTAAAGAAAATAGTTGGCCTTCTGGATCTTACACCCTGCCACTTGTATCTGTTTAATTTCACATTTGATTGTACTATTGCCAAAATGCACCAATAAGACATAAATTTAGCCGGCAGACTACTTCCCTTTTGCTGCATATCATTCTAAGGATGCTTGATTCCACCTCTCTTTGAGTCACTTTCTACTAAAAAAATAAAAACATGTTTCCTCTTGGGGTTTTGCTGCATGTTGGAGTCTTGTTTGATGCATTGTCAACATGTTTTGGAAGCCGTGGTGGCAAAATGCTTCAGATTAAAAAAAAAAAAAAAAAAAAAAAAAAAAAATTGTAGAAGAGAGAAGATCTTTAATGGTGCACAACAAAAATGTATTGGGTCGCAGCGGTACTCTTGGCTGTGTGGCACTGTGGTCGGTCATTTGGCAGACAAGGTGTCTACTTGTGTGGGATGGGTCAGGGAGAAATTAATAATGGTACTTTTTAATAATGAGAAATTAGTCAGCAGGATTGGCTCTTTGTGCACTCCTTGTTATTGGAAATTATAGATTAGTTGAACATTATTTTGGTGTGTGATGGATGACTGCTAAAAGTTAATGTGAACAAAAGTAACATTTCTGTACATTGGTAGAAAGAGAAGGGAATTGTGAGTATGGGTTTAGTGTGAGTGGAGATATGAATGACCTCTTTAAATACAGTACTGTTTAAATTTGTTTGAACAGTATTTTGTAATCATCTTATTCAGCATTTCTTTATACAGTACATTACCTTATAAGGGTTGAAGCAGAAATTACTTGGTATACAGTACTTTATCGTAAAAAGGTACAGTAGATAGAAAAATTATTTTATATTCCCTATTTATTGGTCATATGTTCTTGGACTTTAAATAGTCATTTTTTTCTCTAAGAAAATCACTCTTTTTAAAAATTAATTTTCAAATACAAACTACAATACATGACTTAAAAAAAAAATAGATAAATAAGGAGTTAACCCAGATTTATTTATTTATGCAATACTCTTCTTCCTGTGTTTCAGTATACCCGCGGCAGACCACCACCACTGGAGTGCAAAGCAGTCTGGTTCAGTAATCGTGTGACACAAAATAGTTGTATCAGTATACTTACACTAGTCCTTCAAGTGACTTATTTTACTTATCAAAGTTATAGCTCTTAAGAATAGATATTTTATTATATAAGCAAGGCCAAAGATTATGGAAAACTGTAAGAGAAGTAATATGCAGCAATAGAATGCCTAAGTCATGTGGAATAAATGTTGATATTTTTGTTTTGTTATAATGCTCAAGTTCGAGTGATAGTAATATATATATGTATTTTAGATGTTTGAATGATAAGTTTCAGAATATATTTACACAGTTGTTAAGGAGTGAGCAATTGCTTACACAGATCAAGAAGTAACATGTATTATTTTACCAGTTTCAGTGTGTGTGTGTACTCGCCTAATTGTGTTTGCTTGCTTTATTGTTGAGCTTTGGCTCTTTGGTCCCGCCTCTCGACTGTCAATCAACTGGTGTACAGATTCCTGAGCCTACTGGGCTCAATCATATCTACATTTGAAACTGTGTATGGAGTCAGCCTCCACCACCTCACTACCTAATGCATTCCATCTGTTAACTTCTCTGACACTGAAAAAGTAATTTCTAACGTCTCTGGGGCTCATTTGGTACTTAGTTTCCACCTGTGTCCCCCTTGTTTATGTACCATGCATGTTAAACAGTTTATCTTTATCTACCCCTCTTAATTCCTCTGAGAATCTTATGGGTAGTGATCATGTCTTCCCTTACTCTTCTGTCTTCCAGTGCCATGGGTTTCATTTCCCGCAGCCTATCCTCGTAATTCATGCCTCTTAGTTCTGGGTCTAGCCTAGTTGCATACCCATGAAATTTTGTGTGTGTATTCTTGTTGTGCTTTGGCTCTTTGGTCCCGCCTCTCAACCGTCAATCAACTGGTGTACAGATTCCTGAGCCTACTAGGTTCCATAAACTGTGTGTGTGTGTGTGTGTGTGAGTGTGTGAGAGAGTGAGAGAAGTTCATTCTCATGGCCAGTTTTAACAAGTTTCCATATTATCTACATCTGCAGAGAGAGTATGATGTGTATTTTGGTGCTTGATTTGTATGTTGACTTTGAATTCGTTTTTAACACATTAATGTCGAAAGTGTGGTATTAGAATTTATATGGACTGAGATTAATTTAGTTTGTCAAGTTATGGGGCCAATTGTGATAGAAATATGTGTACTTAGCCTAAAACATCTTTGTCTAAATAGGAAAGCCATATACAGTACTCTTATTATGCTCCCTTTGAGCAAAATTGTTCCAATTTTTTTTTTTTTTTTTTTTTTTTTTTAAGTATAATGGTCTTTCATTTTTATTGGTGCTTTATATTATAAGTGTTTTATATTTTATCATAGTTATCATATTACTGCAATATTATGTTTAAACAATATAATTTATATATTTTAAAATTTACATAATTTTATTTATTAATTTACATAATATATATATATATATATATATATATATATATATATATATATATATATATATATATATATATATATATATATATATTAGCGCCTTAGTGTGGCAATCCAGAGAGGAAATGCTCACTGCATCCATGGTTCCTGCCCGCCATCTGAGGAGCTGGAGGAGCTGTTCAACTTGTGACAAACAGCCTTGTACCCTGCATGTAATCAATATTGTAACTTTTTTTGTGTAATGAAATTTTCAAATAAAGTTAGATAAATATACACACATACCAAAAGAATAGGGGTGGTAGGAGAAGAAAATATCAAAGTGTTCAGTGAGGATCCACAAGGTCTTCTCTGAGTACTCTTTATTTTCTGCTCCGAGGCTATGGATCCCTACACTTGCACCAGAGGTGGTACCCCTTCTAGGTTTAAAAAAAAAAATATATATATATATATATATATATATATAATGTACCTAGTAGCCAGAATGCACTTCTCAGCCTACTATGCAAGGCCCAATTTGCCTAATAAGCCAAGTTTTCCAAGTGTTTTTTTCTTATGAAATGATAAAGCTACCCATTTCATTATGTACGAGGTCAATTTATTTTTATTGGAGTTAAAATTAACGTAGATATATGACCGAACCTAACCTATCTTTATAGGTTAGGTAGCCCAAAAAGTTAGGTTAGGTAGTCGAAAAACAATTCATGAAAACTTGGCTTATTAGGCAAATCGGGCCTTGCATAGTAGGCGGACAAGTGCGTTCTGGCTACTAGGTACGACATATATATATATGAATACATATATATATATATAAATTTATTTATTAAATATAATAATATAATACTGTAGGTATTTTTCTATCCTTATGAAAATTAGTCTTACACATTTGTTGGACTATTAATGCAAATTTGAACAAATACCTATTGTACCTATTCAAATAGGTATGACCTATTCAAATAGGTATGACCTATTCAAATAGGTATGACCTATTCAAATAGGTATGACCTATTCAAATAGGTACTTTTTCTATCCTTATGAAATTTTTCCACATTTCTTGAAATATTAATGCAAATTTGAACAAATACCTATTCAAATAGGTACAACCTATTCAAATAGGTACGACCTATTCAAATAGGTACTTTTTCTATCCTTATGAAAATTATTGTTTTCCACATTTGTTGGAATATTAATGCAAATTTGAACAAATACCTATTCAAATAGGTACAACCTATTCAAATAGGTACAACCTATTCAAATAGGTACTTTCTACCTATTCAAATAGGTACTTTTTCTATCCTTACGAAAAAAATTTCCACATTTCTTGAAATATTAATGCAAATTTGAACAAATACCTATTCAAATAGGTACGACCTATTCAAATAGGCACGACCTATTCAAATAGGTACGACCTATTCAAATAGGTACTTTCTACCTATTCAAATAGGTACTTTTTCTATCCTTATGAAAATTATTGTTTTCCACATTTGTTGGAATATTAATGCAAATTTGAACAAATACCTATTCAAATAGGTACGACCTATTCAAATAGGTACGACCTATTCAAATAGGTACGACCTATTCAAATAGGTACGACCTATTCAAATAGGTACGACCTATTCAAATAGGTACTTTCTACCTATTCAAATAGGTACTTTTTCTATCCTTATGAAAATTGTTTTCCACATTTGTTGTAATATTAATGCAAATTTGAACATATATCTACTGTATATTATCTATTCAACTAGGTACCACCTATTCAAATAGGTACTTTTCTACATATGCTTGTAAACACAAGTCTTATACATTTGTGGGAATTTAATAATACAAATTTGTTGATGTACCTATTTATTATCACCATGGGAAGATTCATGGACAACAATGCGAGAGGTAAGGAAAAGGACTTGCGCGTGCGCGCACACACACACACACACACGCCTGAAACATAACTCCAAGTTTGATGCATTCCAAGCCATGCATTGCCACCTATTCTACAAAAAAAAAAAAAAAAAATACTGCAGGCAGTTTTTTTGTACATCTTATCATTGTCCCGAGTTAGGTAGTGCTAAAAATCGACAATGAATGTTATGAAGGGCCTTTGATGGGTCCTTGGGACCCTCCCTTCTCCATTCACAGGCTTTGGTTTTCTTGTTTTCCTGGCTAAATGACAGATTCAAGGCTAGAGGATTAGAGATAGCGAGTAAGTACCTTGTAGTGCGCAGGTGGAACTAATGAGTGAAATGCTTCATGATCGAGTTATGTTTCGTGGCATCGTGGCCTCATTTTCTATACTGCTCTTCGCCCTTGCTTCATTACACACACAAATCACAATTGCGTGATGCATCAAATAAACAAATCCACAAGGGCCATGACGAGGATTCGAACCTACGTCAGAGAGCATCCCAGACGCTGCCTTAATCGACTGAGCTACAACATGGTCAAAAGGTATATATATATTAGAGGAGTACCACCACTGGTGCAATTATAGGGACCCACAGACTCAGAGAAGGGAACACAGCATTCAGAGAAAAACTTGCCATTTAACTCTGAATACGTATGAGTGTTCGCTTCTACCACCCCCTTTTTTTTATGGTGTACACTTTATTATGCAAGGTTATACAGTTACATATCTGATTTTATACACAAAATGAACATAAAGAGGACAAGAAAAAGTTTGCTTCCTAGAGGCTGTAGATTTCCTCGAACTCCTCCGACGCCGGGCAGGAACCGAGGATGCAGCGGGCATTTCCCCTCTGGATCGCGACACCGAGGCACTGAAAGGGAAAACTTGCCGCTCTAGGGTCTCTTAGTGTCAATGAGCTTGGAACCAAGATCCTTCTTGCATCCAAGAAACCTTCTTGCACTCTCTCCCCATGAGCCTAGGGTCTCAGACCCTATTGGAACTTAGTTGTACCGATGATCTAATTGCCTGTACTTGGCTGACTTGTGTCTTTCTGTGTGTCGCTGCGGCTCCTGTTTGGCCGGCAGAGAGGTTGATGTATGTGGTTGCCAGGGTGGATACGCAAGTATAGTCCCATGCCAACTGTCTACCACCCTTCCATGGGTGCAGTGTGATTTCGCCTGGTCAGCCGGCAAAGCTAACAGTCATGGTTCAGCAAGTTGCGGGGCTCTCTCTCCGCTGGACACTGAGCGGAGAGAACAAGGCTTCTTTTAATGATGCCATTGACTTCGTTGTGTCTAGTGTGTCAACCACCAGATTTTCCACAGTGCAGGCCATGCAATCCATATTCGTCAGCATCTGCCTCGCCACAAATACACCTATGAACAGTGTGGATAGGGGCAGCAAGGCGGAGAGCAACTGCAATACGGAGCTCCTGCGGATCAAGACGTGTGCCTGTCGCAGACATAGGGACTGCCAAAAGGAAGTCCACTGCATGGGGAGCCTGCACAGCTGTGAGGTGTGCACGATCACTGGGGGTTGTTGCTGCCTCCAGCAAAGCTGTGGCTTCTTTGTCTACAATGGGGCTGTCCCAACTGGATTGTTTCTTGGCTTTCGGCATGGCTGGTCTGAGTGCTGGGTCTGCCATGGCACCCCATTTCGTGTAGTGGGGGTCCTGTATACCCACTACATCGCTCATGGTGTCGGGTAGAATTTCCTTAACCAGGTCATCTGATGCTGAGGAGGAAGACAGGAAGGCTGGGACAGCAATTTGGGTGGCGGTGCGGACACCCAGGCCACCGAGCCTGACAGGAAGAGTGGCTTGTTTCCACTGGTATTCGTTGAGGGAGATTCAATCTATATATACATGTATAGAGCATGCATATTATTAATAATAATAATAATATTTTATAATTATATATATATAACTATATAACATTGTACTGAACAGGGTGAGAATTGCTCGAGCTACCTCATCCCTTTGTACTTATATCTCAAACTTATTTCAATTTCTACTTTAATTTGTTTTGTTGGGGATAGGCAGCCGTCTATATATAATTAAGGCTTGTATCAACATGCCCCCCACGCTCCTAGATAAATTACTGACTCTTCCACAGAATGCAACCCCCCATCCCCAATAGTTGACCAACTTCTGGATGCCAATTTACTGGTAGGCGAAAGGAAACATGTCTAACCAGTTCAGTCCTACATTTTTTTTTTAGTAATTTAATTATATTACTTTTTTAACCCTTTTGTTTCTAACTTATTTTATTAAACTAATTAGAATATACTAAATTGATTTCCACCGACCTACTAAACTGTTTCCAGTCTCACAATTTCAATGTCCACTTTGTACCGACCCTCTTTCAGTCTCTGAAAGAGTGTTGGGTACAAAGTGAGACCGAGACATTCCATAACATGCCATGTTATGGAATGCAAAATTGGAGAAAATTAACCACACAACATACAGGTTATGTGAAAAGGAATTAAGGAACTAACAAAAAGATCTAGGGTTAGTTTTGAATAGTAGACTCAGCAGAGGAACACAAAGAACATTGTGCAAGGAGCATATGCATCCCTTTCAACTTCAGAATCTCTTAATTACACGGATGGTGAAATACCAAAACTGTTCTCAACTTGTGAGACTAAAATTGGAATATGCAGTAGATGTATGGTGCCCATGTCTCAAGAAGCTCATCAATAAACTGGAAAAGGTGCAAAGGCATGCTTAAAAGTGACTTCCGGAACTGAAAGGCAAGAGTTACGAAGAGAGGTTAGAGGCACTAAATGTGCCAAAGCTAGAATATATAAAAAAGTATAATGATCACCACTTACAAAATAATAAGAATCTACCACAATTGATAAGAGAAATTCTTGAATATAACAACTTCAAGAACATGTCACAGATTCAAGCTAAGGAAACAAAGGTGCACCCAAAAAATAAATAAAAAATGCAGAGTAGCAGATGGTTGAAATAAAACAAGTGAGAAGGTGGAGGAGGCCAAAATCATCAGTAGTTTCAAGCAGTTACATGGCAAAGAGTACTGGGAAGAAGGCACACCACAAGTGTAGCTCTCATCCTGTAACTCAACCCATCCTCAGACCAAATCCATTTCATCAGGCTTTTTCATCAACCATCTCAAATTTCATCAACCCCAAGGATGCATTTATCAATTTTAACATGCTGTTCATTCAAAATAGGAATTTTCTCAAATATAAATTAATATTGTTATATATTAGCATACTGTGCATATTTAAGCATTGGTTCGGTTAGGTATTTAGGTTCTGTTGGCAATTATTTGTATTTGTAGTTAGTGGGTGAAGGATTTATGAGTGTTGTGGTTCGAACAAAATCATCAGCTAAGCACTTGTTCCGGAAGTGTTTGGATGTCATCAGTTGTGAGTCATATGTAAACCATTTTTCATTTACAAACAGGGGGTTTGGCAGGTGCATGAAATGGCCTTTGGCCTTTGTTTATGAGGATGGGCTGTGTAACTACACAGAACCGAACCTTTGATACTCCACTTGTAACACTGATCGAGAGGCAATGCATCCGACTGGAAGTGTTACTAGCAGAGTACCACAGGGTGATGCGATTAATTACTGGTTCTTGCACCAGTAATGCTCATCGTGTACATAGATGATTAACCAGAATGCATACAGAATTATATGAACACGTTTGCCAATGATGCTAAGCTACTAGGCAAGACTTAAGATGATTGCCATGCCCTTTAAAATGACCTAGACAAAAATAAGTGAATGAAGCACCATGTGGCAAATAGAACTCATTGTGAATAAATGCAACGTTATGGAATGTGGAATAGGAGAAAATAAGCCCCAAACCTACAAATTATTTGCAAAGTAATTGAAGATCTCTAACAAAGGAAAATCTGGAGGTGGTTCTGCACAGTAGACTGTCACCACAGGAACACAATGAACACGGCGAGGAGCATATGCTACAATCTCCAACTTCAGAAATGCTTTAAATACATAATGATAAAATACTAAAGACACTCTTTACAAGTTTTATGACACAAAATTGGAATATGCAGCAGTTATATGGTGCCCACATCAAGAAGCATATTATCAAACTGGAAAAGGTGCAAAGGAATGCTACAAAATGGCTTCCAGAACTGCAAAACAATTGTTACGAAGACAGGCTGGGGGCGTCAAATATGCCAAAGCTAGAAGACAGAAGAAAACAAGCAATATGATCACAACATATAAAATAGTAACATGAATTGACAAAAACTGGCGAGGAATTCTTGAAACCAGAAACTGAAAAAATAATTAAATTATTATTTTATTAGGAAAATTTATATATATAAAAAAATTAAGTATAATTACCATGTATTTTAATATTTATTTTTATATAGTTTAAGTATTACTTTTATATATTAAACATCAAAGAAATATCAATTGAAAAAAATGGTCAAATTAATCATGACTCGGGCACGTTAAATAACACATTGGAAGAGCCTACTTCTACAACCCTTAGGTACACTCACTCTCTTGACTATTAGAGTCGACTGCTGTGAAGTCTGTGTTACCGTTGATATACTGACAAACTTAAAAAAAATTATTATAAAAAATTAGTGGGTTTATGAAGAAAAAATATGGTTAAAGATTCTTAGAATTTATTTAGAATCTCAATGTCGAAACAATGCAAACGTTCAGTCATAATAATTATCCTTTGAATTAGAACAGTTAAACAAAAAGAATGAACATGGCTATATAACTAAGTATATTACAGTACACCACAAAGGCAGAGATGCTGAGAAGTATAAAACAGTTGCACAAAGGCTTGTAGTTTGTAACACACTGATACAGGTCATGATTATGGCTCAGGAATATTTACTGATTACACTTGAGAAGTTTATAATAATTAACATGTCTTATTATCTCTTAGTGATGTGTATGCAAGGGATAAACAGTTTCCTGTACACTGCATGAGGAAGCAGACTGGGATTTGCCTCTCAATGACTGACCTGTAGCAAGGGCTCAAGGCCACATTGTCCAGGGGTGCAGGAATCTTATTTGGTGGCTGTGGGGGGCTCTACACCAACATACTCGCTACCTCCATCATGTGTGCGTGTGTAGTGTGTGTATGTGTGTGTGTGTATGTGTGTAGTGTGTGTGTGTATGTACAAATGCACAATATATACATACATAGGTATGTACAAATGCACAATATATACATACATAAGTACATGCACACACACCTTATGTAATGTTATATAGTCATATCTTTACAGTATACTGTTATTGCAATTCAATGGTTCTGAGCCTATACCATCAGCCACTTCCATGCAGCAGCCTGGAATAGCTTGGCCTTTAAAAGCTTGGCATAAAGGAGCTTATACTTTGGACTGACAACAGAACATCAGCTTCAAATTGTAAAAACAATATGGAAGGTTATATTTGTGATATACAACATTTGACACTTTTCTAATAGATTTATTAATTGAACAAGGTAACAAGAGAAAACTTGGATCCTATTCCACAAGAAAATAATGTATTTATACCAGATTGAAGCAATCAACATCTACCTCACAATTAAAAGTATTTCAAATTCAGTTTTTCCTCACTATAATCATAAATATTAACATAGCATTATAACCACTTTCAACGCACATTCACATATTTCTCATGGGTATTAAGAGCTACAAGAGAAAAAAAGTTAAGGGCTACTTGCATGTTAAAAATTTACACCAACCAGCAAAGTTTCAAAGTGAAAAATGAGTGAGAGCAATTACAGGATGGTAAACTTCCTTTATGGTTTTTGTGTGAACACTTAAAACATGGGGGAAGTGATGGCTGATGGATCCTAGCACACAGCGAGCAAGGCCCACAATTTTCTTGGGGTGGGAGGGAGGGAAGGGAGATGGGGCTCCGACAGGCCCAACATGCTACTCGCTGGGCCCCGATGCCTTGTTTCCACGCGAGAAATATGACTAGGACACTTTGGTTTGGAAAAAGGCATAAAATTTGTTTTTAAACACGACTTATTATTAGTAGTAATCTTTTATATAACACTTAATATGGCAGAATTGATAAATATGAATCCTACAGTCTCACATGACAAAACAGTTGCATGTATGAAAATTACCATCAAGAAGAAAACGTCCATTAGCAACAGGATCATCTTTAACATGTAACGGTACCATCAGAGGGACTAAATTACATGAGGATTAATAGTCCTGGAAACAGGTTGCTTCTCTGCGGCATGTACACCACTCCCTCTGTAGAATATGGCTTAACACTACATGGTATTAAACTTATAGAAATTACATTTTGAGGAGCCACAGAACAATGATCAAGAGATGACAAGCTACCATTTCTAACCTAAGATAATTTCGGATTCTAGATGAGAATGAGGATATATTGCACACAGGCCAAAATGTATTGCATCCTTAAATGTCACATTGATGGCAGATATTCAGGAAAAGCTTGCCAACAGTCCATTGGACCAATACACAGGCTGCTGTCTTGCTACAGAGGGGGTTTTAGAGAGGCTGTACGACAGTCTGTAATTATTCAAGCATGCTATACACAATAATAAAGAAAACTATTTACATGATTTTGTCAATGTATGAACAGGTTTCACTTAGATAATGTGAGTAATGTTTCATGTAGACGTATCATTGTTAGTATGTGACACAACCTGGACAGACACTGCAGCTGGTGACTCCTGGTCATTATGGCCTTTCTGGAGGGTTCACGCAGTCACATTTCACACCACTGTGCTAACGCCTGTCCACTGGCTATTCATTAGAGCTGGGGCCTAGCAAAGGCTCTCAAACAATGACAGCCCTGGCAGCTCCATGGAAACACTCATGGTCCTGTCTTATGTCATCACCAACACAATGGGTAAAGAGGGTGTAACTGAAATCCAACAGTGTAGGCAACACAGAGGGTGGTAGTCTGACAGTGTACTGGAAAGGACACTGGAAGGGGTTAGGTGACCGAGTCATAAGTCTCTAGCAGCAGCAGCTTGGTGCTGGTGACCTGGGGCCGGCCAGGCCGCATCTGCCACTCTTCCATGCACCCTCTGTGGTGGCAGCACTGATGGGCCCCCAAGATCACTTGGCCCGCGACCTGGCCTAGCCCAGTCCTAGCCGACAGTAGCATTGATAGCGGCAACAGTTTGGCAGGATTTCCAGTGGGGTTGGCTGACCAGTGAGGCCCACCAGGGGCTGAGGCAACACTTGCATCACAACCAGTAACTGGCCAGACAGCCTCACCCTGCTCAGTCACCACACACTTGAGATCAGCATGTTTACATTTCATCACCTACATTCACACACCAAGCCAACCTGAAACAGTAGTTTATGTGAGTAATATTACAGCTACCCTTTCTGGTGTCTTAGAAGCCATCTTTGAATTTATTTATAAATAATAATTAGCTTAAGTTTTATTTTATAGAGCCTAAAACTCTCAATATCCCATGGACAGAGCAAAATTAGTGTAGCCAAAGCAGTAAATTACAAAAATAGTGAAAAATATCACCCATCTCTTAATTTAATTGTGGCTTTACATTATTTTCAGCCACACGGAGTACTAATAATGCACAGTAATATTCATGCTACTGGCCATAACCAATATGCATCTATGTACATAACCAATATGCATCTATGTACATAATTTTCATACAAAGTAAGGATTGAATTAAATATAGTATTTAGTGTACTGATCACAGAATTAAGTGAGATAGTTTTTGGCACATGAAAGATGGGAAGGCTGTGCCAGTAACAGATCTTCTTGAGGTTATCTTGAGATGATTTCGGGGCTTTAGTGTTCCTGTGGCCCAGTCCTCGACAGGCCTCCACCCCCAGGAAGCAGCCCGTGACAGCTGACTAACACCCAGGTACCTATTTTACTGCTAGGTAACAGGGTCATAGGGTGAAAGAAACTCTGCCCATTGTTTCTCGACGGCACTCGGGATCGAACCCGAGACCACAGAATCACAAGTCCAGTGTGCTGTCCGCTCAGCCGACTGGCTCCCAATGTACCAGATGTGCACAAGTGCCAAAAAATTATGTAGTGTCATATGAGATTACCTTTAGAAAATTTACCATTTTACAGGTACCTCTTCACCTTTGATTTAAATAAGGTGTTGCATAATTATACAAGTGTCCAATATTATAGTCGATGGCTGAAAGAACAAACCTAAGACAACCAAAATAATATAACCAGATTGGCTATCACGAATTAAAACACGCCATAAATAACGTCTATGTAATGCCATGCCAAGAATATTTTCAACATAACTTGATCACATACAAAATTAAGCCCTAATTGCAGTGCACATCTCTTAGCCAATGTACCAGGGCTCTCAATCATTTATTGTATTGTATGGTAGAAAGTCATTCCCAACAGCTTGAGCACACATAGCTAGTGGCAGTCTTATATGAAGGAACTTACCTGAGGCTGTGGGTTTCACAAGTGGGTGTTGGGTGCTGTGTTGGATGAGTTGGACTTGTCTGCATCTTCTGAGGCAGGAGAGGAGACAGGCTGAGTGATTGCGGGCGCATCCTTCCTTGGAGGCATGCGCTCATTCATTGCATCGAGACCCTTAGCCTCCGCAAAGGATGTAATCTTGTGGTTTGGAGAGAAGCCTGCCATTGCTGCAGATATTTAAAATTAATCATTTTATTCTATAATTATAATTTATATTTATAATTACAAATAATTTGAGAAACACAAGACACTACAGTATGGGGGGAAAACATTTAAATATATTAAACATCAATAGCTCAAACATGCTCCAAAATCAAAAAGATTTACTCATCATTTACCAACCGTTTAAGCTGATATTTTACCAGCTCCTGAGAGCAAGCACATCTAGTGCACACAATAAATACATCACCTTGCCTCCATTAAATTGCAACTACCTGTAGTAACATGACTAGTACATAACTACCCATTAAGTTTAAAACCACTTAAAATATTACACCATCTTTTAGAGAAGATTGTATACACACTCACAACTAGTTTCTGGCACTTAACACTCCAAGATTTGTTGAAGGAAACCCTACAACAATGTGCCACCTGATCTCTGGATACTTTCTTAATACTGTACTTATTTGTGATCAATAAGAAATGTTTTTGCACAAAGTTCACTTTATTAGTCTCCTTAGGGGTGCTGCTGTATTTCTACTGCATCACCTTGTTCCCAACAGATTGCCCTGGGCTAACATCCAGCACAAACACACTACTAGACAATCGGTATTTCCTTACATATATATTATCCAGTACTGGAATATTATATATAAATAATAATAAAAAATAGGCCTCAATGAGTATGTTTACAATCCCTGTACCAAGTCAGGTACCAATGGCAGCAGCTTGGTGGGCTCTGGCAACTATGCCTCCAGTTAATCACAAACTCCAGCCACAGACTGGCAGGTGTCACATCCTCATTATCTACCCAGAGCCAACCCACCATCTACCGACGCTCTACTCACATGCAACCTCGTAACAGGTGTACACAATGCAGTGATGCACCCTTTGGTGCAGCTGCCATTGACATCAATAACAATATCACAATAATAACTTTAATACCACAATTGGTAAAAATCAGACACTATTTTAATCAGGTTATGTAGCATGATGTAGCAAATTTGCGCTACTTAAAGGCAGTTAGTTTTCTTAGTACAATCACTGAGATATCTGCCTTTGTTGTCAAATGGACCAAATTTGCTGCACCATGCTACTTATTATATACTAAACACTTTTGACACTTAAATCGTAATCAGATTTTGTAATGTCAAATGTGCTTCAACTGGTAATTCACAGAATGAACATCTGCAGCACAGCTTCGTGTCAAGTCACCACACCCCCACTTCATTAACCAAATTTTCCCTCTGTTATAGAAGCTCGAGTCGGCTGCTGATTTAGCTGGATAATAGTAAAGATTCCCTAACCAACGAAACAAACATTATCAAATTTAGCATCTTGTGGCATCATATTTGGTTCACTTGACAATATGCACACATTTCTCTCTATCGTCACAGCAGCTTGCACAATGATCAACACACACCACTAATATATAATAACTACTAGCATCAGTACAAATTATAAGGATCTGCAGGTTGGCACAAAAATTCAACCAACTACAAACCACTTATTTTGTTGAAAGGGAGCAATAGAAAAACTGAAGTACACTTACATCGCATCAGGCTCGGATATCCATGTGCATGACTTACAGATTTTAGAAGATGAGAGGAAATGTTAGCACTATGAAGAAATGCTTAACAGACCATTTGAACATTATCAAACACAATGCAGACTTGCAAACTAAATAAGATTTCAAATAAGATTTAACAGAACAAAAGTTCTTAAACACACAAGACAATCTTACTGAAGTGAACATACAAGTCATTACTCATACACTGCCCAAGAAAGAAATGTGAAACGAGTAACATTTGATGGGCCAGCCAGAAGCTTAGGGCCTGGGCAGGAATATACCTGTAAAAGTACAAATGACGTCACATCGAGTGGCTTGTTGAAGTAAACAAGCAAAGTTGTTTTGACAAAAATGGTTTTCTTTACCACAGCCATGATGAAGCTGGTATTCCAATGTACCATTAACATTTTCAGCGGAATCAAATATTGTAGCATCAAAGAGGTTTCAATCAGCAACTCAAAGTTTGAGTCATCAGCATGGCACAAGTCATCACCGTCAAATTCATTCCTCAAGTCTCTTCCCTTGCTCTTAAAGCAGCTTATTTCATATTTTGACGAATAATATTCAACTATATTTATAATATATTCCACTTTACCATCAAGATCTTCCAGGCCCTTAAAATTCTTGTAATTTTGCACGATATCAATGTCCCTGGTGTGGTCATCCTATGCATTCACTGGCCGGAAGGTGATGTGCCAGAAATGGTGTTCATCTGTTTACCAAAGCTCAGGAAGGAAATGAAGGTTCATTTGCAATTTTTTCAGATATTGATAACACCAGCAGTCTAATAGTGAACGACATTGTGAATGACAATTACCAAACCAATTGAAGTCTTTTGCCCAATTGCCACTGGGCAATTATAGCATATATATATTTTCCCTCCCAGAGAACCTTAACACTATGTGCCGGTAACAACGCAGTATTGCGTGCTAAATTTAGTAGCCAAAATTCCGGTATCAACACAGTATTGCACTGTCGGCGGCTTCAGTAGGGGCGCGAAGCGGTTTTGGACATAATATGCATGTACTCCTGTAGGGAATTTCATTGCAAATACATTGATACCAAAATGAAAGACCTAGGACCAGAATTGAGGTAACAAAGTTGAAAAGAGTATACCCATTTTATTGCTCTTGATGAGCGCTCACTGGGATAACGCTACATTTTCTTTGTTTGCTGTGGGTGGTACGTCGAGCTTTTCGACTTTATATTTGCATATACTCCTGTAGTGAATTTTATTGAGAACACAATGCCAAAATGAAAGACCCAGAATGAGAACTGAGACAGTCCAAGTGATAGAGTGTACACATTTTACTGCTCGTGTTTGTTTCCGGGTAACATGCTCTCACTTTCTCGCCCGGCTTTTGGGCTTTATATGCATTTAGTCCTATAGAGAATTCTATTGCGAGCACATCGATACCAAATTGAAAACCTAGGATGAGAATTGAGGTGACAAAGTTGAAAAGAGTACACACTTTTCATAATTACCGTGCACTCCCGTGGAACACCCGGACCCACCTGGGATAGTGCAGGGCTCGCTCACGCAGGGCGCAAAAGTGTTAAGCTGGTTATTCACAAATTCACAGGAATCAAGACTAACAGCAGTAGTCCACTGTTATTTAAAATCCTCTAAATTTTAAATACTGTACAGTAACAGAAAAAAAGAAAATAATAATAATCCTTAGGTGCAGTAACTTACCATTTTTCAATGACGCTTTTCCACCTGACAACGCTCCAAGTGGCAGAGCACCAGTAGGGGTAAGACCTTTCAGCTGCAACACACTTTCGCTCTCCTCTCTGCAAGAGTCACCAGTTAAACAACTCAATTATACTGCATTACTTTCGTGAATAAGACGCCAGCACAGTTTGGAGGCAAAGATGACATTGGAGAAAGAAACCACCGTGAACATTCTTGCTGCACTTTTTACTGCTTTCCATGAATGAGACAAGTAAATAGTTATCAAAACAATGTGCCAAGGCTATGTATGGAGAAAAGGGAAAATCTCTTACAAAATAATTTAAATAATGAGATAAGAGAATGGAATATTCTGGGATTGGAGGAGAGAAATGAGAGCAAAGAAAATAAAAAACAGTATACAGTACCACAATGATATGAAAAATATATCATTCCACTTTCCCAGCAGGAAGTGCTTTCAAAAAGTTCAAATCCTACAACTTTACCTATAACCCATTAAATTAAAACCCTTGTGAATAGTTAATTCTCAGTTTTGACTTATACAAATTATGAACAAAATTACTTCTTTCTATTAGGTGAATCATAATTTTGGCATAAATGAAGGCTAATCACGTGAACATTCATTCCGGTTCCTAATCTTACGTTGGCATCTGCACACCAATTTATATGCCCGCAAAAAGCTCTGGCTTCCCTTAGCCATTGTACTCCTTGGGGTAAATTAAAACCCTTGTGAATAGTTCATTCTTAGTTTTATCTTATACAAATTATGAACAATGATTAAACAATAGTTTTATTTTCTAAGGATTTTAAATCTTATATACATTATGTCAATACATTACACTTAGTAATAAGTTTTATTTTGAAATTAAATAAATTTAAATTAAAATCTTGAATACACCTTTACTTTATCCTATATCAAAAGCAAATTACATCTTTAATTACTCACCTTAAAACTGAGAAAACTCGAGCCATTTTGCCAATAGCACGAATCTTGTTTCGGATAACCTCCTTCCGCAAGGCTCCTTTTTCTGTTGATCATTATGGGTAGACATCAGTACTAAACTACACATATTGGCAAATCTTTCATTGAGTCCCCCCCAGCAAACACACAATAACCAGCCAATTACAAATCAAACTTCAAAAGCTAATTAAGGGAGAGTTTAAATCCCAGAAGTATGCCCTAACAGTGAAGTTTGGGCACCGAAGCAAAACACTGGCATCGGAAAACTGTTAAGACTCGTTATATCAAGGTTATGAAGAGTACAATTCTAGATGAAAGATTATCAATTGATTAATTATTTTCACATTGCCCCAAATGACTTATTTTACCAACGTGTGTTGTACAATGATGGACAACCCATCATAAACATATAATGACAACATTCCTAGCAAGACAACACATACAGGTGAAACATCCCATACAGTATTCTGGCATCACAAGTCAATGCCACTTTTCAATCAATAATGACAATTAATTGGACGAGAGTTCTTTCATTGATGCAAAAATTTTCACATCAGAAAGAAATCTCTTCCACCTCTGACAGGCAATCAAGAACCTGTCAAGTGAAGCCAGGAACAGCAGCATCTATATAACCTAGAGTGCAGTCTCATCTATGGCTAAGTTTCCCACTACTATGAATAAGCTACTCAAGAGCCTTTTTATGTATCATTTAAAACAGACTAATTTTCTTGGTGTTGTACAAGAGAAAAGGAGTCTTTATGAAATTTCTGTGTAAGGCTCACAAGTCCATCACTTTTCCCTGGCAAAAGTTTGGCAGCATTGGCTTTTACACAACTTACTCATTTCTTCCATCAAGGGGGGAATAAAACATTGAGTTTTCCACTTACACTGAAATGACATACAGGAAATCAATAAGTTTGCTCTTGACACGAAATTGACCATCTAAATGCATGACTAGTTTGTCACAAAGCAACGACACAAGCAAAGTCTAGAACTACTAGTATTACCTGGAATAATAATAATGTCTTGGTTTGGGACTGCCAGCCATAAGTGACCTACATACTGAAGTTATTCTCAACAGTTCAGCCACTCACAGCTAGCCATTTCACCTAAACCACTAAACTTGAAAAGCATCATTTGTAACCACAACTTCAAGCACAAACTTAGCTCTGAACATAGCACGACCTGCATTGCTGGTTAGCTGATGTGATTAACATTCAAACTCTCAATTCTATGACAGTTAATCTGGTAGCCTCTTTTTGTTATTTTAGGATAAAAAATACCTATTGGAGTCAGTCATGAAGGAAAGTAGTTCATGAAAATAAAAACATGAAAAGAAATAAAATGCATGCATGAAATGAAAAGAAAATGTTATTTAAGCACTTCAGACGGGCATGCAATCTCCTTACTTGGCTCCATGCCTGGTGCTCGACTTACCCGGCACAATTAGCACTGTTGTTGCTTGCAATGTTTGCCACAACAGTATCAACAAGTATTAAGGTCCAAGAAGATAAGCAGGATTTTGTTGGATTTTATGTGCACGCAAGCCACAGGAAATGGAAAGAAAAAGGAAATACTAGATAAAAAAGATACTGGAGACAATACGAATGAAATTAACAATAAACCCAAGATATTACTGGTATAGAGACCATAGTGCTGAACGACCAAGATCATCATTCTGAAGCCTCACTGGGGACAAGCAGTTACTCCTATAGTTTAACTATGAGCACTGACTGGCTGTCTTATAGCCTGTAGGTACCTCTGCCCCACACACCCAGCCAGACTGTCAGTTGTCCGAATTTAAAGCATCAGAATATTTACTTATCACCTGAGGCTTCATAATTTATGGCCAAAACTGCATTGGTATATTTGTGCTTTGTCCCCCTAAGGACAAGTCCAAAGAAAAAAGTAAGAACCTGACAATCAGCCATTTCCAGTCAGCATGCATCAGTCATTCCAAACAAGCACCCCATGACCTCAAGGATCTAATAATCAAATTCCCCCATACAGGCAAGACATGGCATCTAGCTGTAACATAAACAACAATCTTAGGTGGTGAATAATATGGACTAATTTTGTATATAAATACAAAATAATTAGCCTCATTAATGTGCTACCTAAGTATCAAAATTGTTGTTTATGATACATATAATCAAAGAATAGGACATGACTCCAATGGATCTTTATTAAGGCATGTTTATTGAGACAAGTTTTACAGGCCAAAAGAAATGGCTGCATGTCATGAAAACTGGCCTGAAATAATCACCTTTATTACTCCCCTACACAAGCTGCCCAATGCAATGTATTAATCAACAGGACAAACAAATTGGATGTGATAGCCAAACAACAACTGAAGATAGTTCCAAGTAGTTCATTACAATGGAGATTTTCGGGTTTGCTTAAATAAAATCAATGAGATAATCACCAGGAATTTACCTTCAGGAATCTAGTACTAACATTTTTTTGTCCCACTGAAGAGAACCAGCATGAGTAAAAAAAAAATACCACCGTGCTCACATTTTCAAGGTGCTGGTCATTAAAATATGCAATACAGTGTTTAAGAGAGACTCAACTTTAAAAACTTTCAAACTACAAGAGTGAAATTGACTACTATACTTAGTTCCTAGCAAGGAATTCCTTGGTGTATGAGACGTTTACTGTGCTATTTTTTTATGCATCTAAAGTTTTCAGAAATATTAGTTAACTATTACACTAAGAATACTGTTACTGGGATCTCAGACCTTTGGTGCAAGTTGATACACCAGTGAAAGTGAGGAAAGTTTGATTGATTTTTTGTAATATACAGTGAGTGCAGCAGTAGTGTGGGGAGAAGTTGGTGGTGTGGGCCGGGCTGGTGCCCAAGGCCAGGCACATTATCACCAGTACATCACACAGTGTACAGCAGTGCTGGCATAGTAGGGCAGGTCCCACCCAGTTTGCCACTATCAGATACTAAGGTACATCTAGCTAGTTTCTTCTCGACTATACTGGCCTGTACATAAACTAACTTGTCACATAAGACAACACATTCACAGAAACAAATTGATGGGATTTAAAGCAAGTTAATTTTATCAACAACTTTGGGTATTCAAGAAATACTGGACATTAACAATATGAAACAAGACAAGTCTATTTAAAACTAACTACTGTAGGTAACAGGCCACATAGTACTTTCTACAGTGATACTACAGCCTTTGGACACTAATATGAAGTCTTACCATCTTCCCCTTCACCATTCACGAGAACAAAAAGAAAGTAGAAAAGACTGGTAAACACTTAGGACATAAAGATGTGAAGAGTTCCATTATCTGCCATCATGAAGCCACAATCATGAGGTTAAACAATTAAATAATTGTGCCAATATTGCTAACACAGCAGGCTTGCTGGGTTGCCATCAATGATGAAAACTAACATGGCAATCTCAAGAAAAAGTAAAATCAAAAAATTAATAATCAAAGAGTATAAAGAATTCTATATAAAAAAAATTTAATAGCATATTTATTAACTGCAGATCATTTCCTCCACCTTGGAGAAAGGGTGCATGCAAAGGTTTGAAGGAATATTCACCACTGCTTAGTAAGACAGCAGATGTGAAGAATTGGGAGAGAAAAAAAAAGAAAAAAAAAAAAAAAAGTTGGAGTGTGTGTGTATATTAACAAAACCCTCACTACTAATACCCCCAACTGCATGAAACTAGGTCCTTAATTAAAATTTGATCATGCACAAGTATTTTTTTATAACAATTTACATATATATTTTAAATACAAAATTTATTAAATTCACAAGTATGCTTAATTCATAATTAAGGCTTTCCATCAGTAATCAGTTACAACTTAATATTTTGCCAAGTTTGTTAATGCATAATTTGAAGATTTAGTGAAAATATGTAAATTGGTCACAAAATGAAATGTACAAAACAGCACAATTAAAATATTTAAATTTATATCTTCATACAATTTGAATTATCTGAATCAAAGTAGCTGATATTCCTTACTCGTATTTTGCATACTTGAACAGAATTCTGACCTTAAATCCTTAGGGTCAGCATTTATTTTTAATGTGAATGTTAACTGCCTGGAAGAGTGCAACAGCAAAATATTGGGAGAGAGAGAGAAATATAGAAAAAGCAAGAGATGTAGAGAGAGCAGGAGCCAAGAGTGCAACAGAAGAGCAAAAGAGACACAGCTGGAATAAGATGGTAAGTGCAAGCAAGAACAAGAGAAAGATAAATCGAGAACAAGATACAGCTAGAAAGAACAAAATGGCAAAAGTGAAAGTAAGGGAGAGCAAGCAAGAAATGAGCTTTGAGAGGGCAATCACTCCCAAGACTGCCCAAGGACCACCGTTACAGATGCCTCGTCACATTTATTTTAGACAAGAACATTCGTATGGTACAAGTGTCTTTATCACTTTGAAGCTCTCACCATTCCCTTACCTGATAATTTCCCCTCTTCACCTGACTAATACTTAACAAAAACATAACACAAAACATTATTTTTGTTTTATGTTTTATGTCGAATATTTTTGTGTTTTATGATAGAGTGAATGTGATGAACATTTATCTTAAAACTTGTAGCAGTGCTGTAGATATCGTACTACAGTACAGTATTACAAACAAGAAATTAAAATTTCCATTAAATGTGTAATTTCTTTGCTGTTAAAGATTAAGGTTTTCATGCCTATACAATCAATTAAAAACCTCAATATTTAAAATGGGAAATATTGAAGCCCATAGGCCCTTTCAATCCTAGAATGAAATGCCTTAAAATAAATTTACATTTTTGTTTAGACCTGTAGACTTTAAGACATTAAAATTCCTACCCCTTTACAGTAATACTTCATCAGTATTTTTTTTATTCAGATATTACATAAGCAAAGTTATACAACAGATCTGAAAGATTTGTCAAGATTTGATAGAAGATGAAATAAAAATGTGTGAGGAAAAAATATCACCTCCCACCCCCAAGCATGACTTGAATTTGTACAAACTCCATCACTGGCAGAGGCATCATAGTGTAAACGAGGCTTTAACAACAATTATATAGAAAACACTGTAAAAACAAAGTTCAGGAAAAACATTACACTAAGTAGTTTTTGGTCTCTTCAAAAAATGCTATATGAAAGACGGCAAAGCCTTAAGAACTGTGGACTTCCTATACAATATAGTAACCCAGTTTGCAAATATATTTTTTAGACGTTTAGAGCCTTAAAATCATCAAATTCTACCAATTGGCATTAAAATTAAACTTGACATGTGTTGGCAGCAAATTTACAAATTATCTACACTGATAAAAAACATTCTATAGAAATTTCAAAAGTAGTTTGACAAATACTGTACACCGCTTGTCTCAGAAGAGAATTATAATGCTACATTATGATGGGTATTGCAGTAACTTTCTTAGTGCTATGTAAATCATAAATATTAAAATGCTTTTAAACTACATAGGCACTTCATGTTTAGTGTAAAAAACAAAAATTTGTAGAATCCATTCATGCTTTAGTTTGGACAAATTTTTTTCTTAAACATTTCACTAATAGGAATGAAGTTTCATTCATGACAAAAAGTATCTAGTTTCATGGAGGGTTAATTGAGAGACCAAATTTTAAATTATATTAATCAGTTTCTTCCTATAAATATTTAGAGCAAAAATTAATCATTTAATGTAATGAAATGCCATTTTCTGGGTTACCTCAGAAGCTCCCTAGTGCACTGGCTTTGGTCCTATAATGTTATCTACAATGCTACATGGTCTAAGGACTTCAGCAAACCTACCGAGTAACAGGACCAGAATCCAGTACTGTATGCTCGTGGTGGAGTAGGGTAAAATGGGAATCCCAAATCAACCCAAAATTAAGTAAAATAGAAAGTACATGAAGCAAAATGAACTAGGTATCTTTATTAAAGGGGGGAAGAGATTGAAACAAGGCTAGTAGTAGTTTGCCCTAAAGTCCAAGCTTTCCACTAGGCAACGGCTCGGATCACACCTTCACTCAAGTGCTACCACCCAGTTTCCATGGGAAGCAAGATGCACATGGAGATATACAGAGGCCACGCAATTTTTTTTTGTATTACAATCAATGCATTATTTATGGTCTGGCATTCAGTACCTCACAGTGAATACTCTCAATGACGTTCAAGAGAACACGAGCATTGCAGGAAGAAACAGATAAACATTGAAATAAAGATGGAGGGGGCTGACCTAATTGGGGTAAGAAGGCAAAGACCAGGGTTCAGGTAAGAATGAAATCGACTGGAATGGTTTCCAAGAACCATACAGGCCCAGCGAAGTCAGGAAACACCTAACACATAAAAAACAAACAAAACGAAAAAAATAAAAAAGCAACAAATAAACCCAGACCAAATGGCTATTAGTTATCCGAGCTGCATAAAAACATGGCAATGTACGACATAAACCAATGATGAGTGTTATTCTATGGTTATGAATGCCTGACAAAATACT